AGCGATGAAGAAGAAGAAGAAGAAGATCGGGTTAAATTGGAATCATTTGCAATGGCGTCTAACATTCAGAACGATGATTATGATATACCACCTGAATTGAATTATGACACTCAAATTGGGAACGATGGAAGCGATATTGAACTGCCAGACATGAACCCAATCGAGGAAATGGATAGCGGAGTGAAAGCGTATGGTAATATTTCGATGAGTGGCTTTGATTTTCAATGCGATATGGCCATATCGAATGAAAGCACATCAACCGAAACATTGGGCAAAGGAATAAACGCCCTTGATAATCGAAAGATAAGAAAATTAGCTCGATCTGCAAGAAAATCTGATTCGAACCCAACATCATCGTATCAATCAATTTCGTCAAACCAAATGCAGGTAAAGAAGCAATTCAAATGCCAAATTTGTGAATATTCGAACAACTACAAGTGCCACCTCAAACGTCATATGCGTAAACACACCGGTGAAAAGCCATATCGATGTGATATTTGCCGCAAAGAATTCACCCAACTAGGTCACATGAAAAGGCACAAAGTCACTCACACTGATGAAATTCCGTTTCATTGCCGTGGCTGTCTCACTGAATTTTCCCAGAAGGCTGACCAAGAATCCCACGAAAAAGTGTGCAAATCACGTCGATATGAATGCCACATCTGCAAGAAGTGTGTCACTGCTGACAAAAATGATTTAAAAAGGCATATGCGAACACACAACGGTGAAAAACCGTTTCGATGCGAGATTTGTATGATGCGCTTTACGGTGAAAAGCAGTCTGAAGAGACATTCGGACATCATCCACACCAATTGTTAAAAGGTCCCATCCACATTCAAAATATTCTCAATTTATGCTGCGGATTTTTCGAACGTTTAAACTCAAGATAATTCCATGGTAATACAAATTCAATGAACTAGATTACGATCCAGCAAAACGTGCTCATAAGTTACGAGTGAGAAAAATACTTTGATACAATAATATTTTGGAGACTAAATCAGTTGAATTGAAACATTGAAATCAAGATTTTTATTAATATCCATTTATCTCATCTACAATTTAAAACATTTTTCAAGCTGAACTAATAATTATCGAAAATAACATTCATTTTGCTCATTGATTAGTTGTATTCAGACACATTATGGTGTCCTAAAGTAAATGAAATTGATCATTAGGAAGGTCGCACCTTTAATGTTTGTGTTAAATAATCAATAATTTGACTGAATTCACACATTTACAATGGTTGAAAATAAAATAGATTAAATTTTTATAGCTTTCATTCAATGGTTACTTAATGCACTTAGAATTCAAACCCACTCTTTTGCCGCAACTGTTTCAGCTGAGTCTAGAACACCATTACAGCGAATTCATTTTGACAGCGTTTTCGCAATAAATTAATGGTTTTCGCATTCAATGGCGTCGTTCTATCTATACGACTTGTTGCATAACAACGTACTCAACACGTTTCAATCTGGAAACTAAAGAAATAAACTCATATTTTCATCGAATTAATACTTTATTGGAGTGAACTCATTTTAAATATTCTTCTATTCGCCCAAGAGCATTTCATTTTGTTGGAAATTATTTATCAAAAGGTGAGCAAGGTAAGAACAATATTTTGTGTTGGCATCTCGGAATCGTAACATGAGAAGGTAACCTTTAGAATTGTTCCAAGTCGAATATTGTTATTTTGGACAAGAACTTGAACAACAACGAATCAATTGGCTCGTTTAGTCAAAATGCTCCCTCTCCATTATTATCAATTTGATTTTGTTTCGGTATATTCCAGGTAAAAATTCGAAAATGTTGAACTGGAATAACGAGATGAGCCAAATGCTTCTTGCGTTCGAACTACAAGCCAAATATTCTCTGAGCAAAATTAAAATGGCACTAAAATGCGATGGTTTGTCGTTTAATGCTGAGTTCAGGCAGTATTTTATGCGAGTCACGACCCATCGGTTAGTATATCATCTCAGGATTCCATTTGTTTATCTTTTTGATTAAATTTTTTAAATTTTTTTGTAGAATCGAGGAAACCTATGACCACTTTGAAATTAATTCAATTTTTGAGGACCAAGTTAACGGTGATGCTTATGGAAGCACGTCAGCAATTGATAGACTTCCGATGCTGAGCTCAATGTATACCAAAAATCATGACTTTCACGGTATTCGAGAGGCAACAAGTGATTCAGTCGAAGTCATCGACTCAAGTGATGAAGATCAACCAGGAAATCGGTTTAAATTAGAATCATCGGAGGTGGCATCCACCATTCAATACGATGATTACGAAACACCATCTGAACGGCACGATTATGATCAAAACGACGACGATGGAAGCTACACTGAAAATGAAAATTCAATGAAAGTGGCAGTTCCTTTCACTTTGCATCGCGATATTGTCAGCAAAGACACTTCTACTGTCATATTGAGCAACGAATCAAATATCCATAGAAGGATCGGAAGTAATAACATGGCAGGAAGATCAACGAAACGTCTAAGAGATGGTGCTGAAATCCGGTTGCAGATGAAGAAACGTTTTAAATGCCAACATTGTGAATATTCCACCAATGACAAATCGAACTTTACTCGTCACATGCGTATACACACCGGTGAGAAACCACATCGATGTGATATTTGCCAAAAGGGATTCCCCCAGCTAGGTCACATGAAAAAACACAAGGTGACACACACCAACGATATTCCGTTCCATTGCCGAGGTTGTGGTGGTGCCTATAAAAGCTCTGCTGGCACATGAGAACTTTAACCGATTTTGCATCCATGAAATATTTTTTTTACGTTTTTTTCAGATGGAAATGGCGACAATGGACTGGAAAAACGAAATGGTGAAAATGCTTGCTGCCCTTGAACGGCAAGCCATTTATTCGTTGGGCAACATAAAATTTGCCTTTACATGCAGCGGAAAGTCATTTGATCCCAATTTCAAGCAATACTTTTTAAGAATTTCGATTGCTCGGTACGTATGTCACTTGAGGCTCATTTTAAATTCATACAATTTATGTACATGTATATTTTCACAGGTTAGAAGAAGCTTATGAACATTTTGAAATCGAGGCAAAGATCGAGAAAGAAATATTTAATCAAAATGTTCGAAAAAGTATGTCTGGAGTATCAAGCTCCAATTCCATTGAAACCCGACTTCAATCAGAAAACAAAGAATCCATTCGGAAGCTCGATTACATTGAAATTGATGACTCGAGCGATGAAGAAAAGGTCAGTAGAACACCAGGAATGTTAAAAATCGCTTCGATTAAATCTGCATGGAATGTTGCATTGCAGGAACCCAAAACTGCGAATGCCAACAGTGGACAATCGGCCATTAATTATGATGCAACTCGTATTGGTTCGACTACAATCAGGAAGCGTTCATCAAATCCAATTTCACTTCATAAAAGTCCTTACAGTGGATACAATAATCTGACTGGCGTCACTATACCAACGGGAATCGAGAACAAGTATGGCAAATTACGCGATCAAAATCGTGAAAATTCGGCATCAATTGGAAGTGTTGTTGTGAATGGACGCACATTCACTGACACATTAAATAATTGCATTGATGGTACCGATAATAGTAAGACCTCCGGTAAAAATATGACAGGCAAAGCAAATAGATGCCCAATAGAAGAAGCTGAAGCTTCAGCATCATTGGCGAATAAGAACAAAATTAACCAGTTGAAAGTCATGAAGCGTTTCAAGTGCCAACGTTGTGAATATTCCTGCAATCAGAAAGAGCACATGACGTTACATATGCGTACTCACACCGGTGATAAACCATATCGATGTGATATTTGCCACAAGGGATTCACCCAAACAAGAAACATGAAAAGGCACAAAGTCACTCACACTGATCAAATACCATTCCATTGCTGTGGCTGTTACACTGGATTTTCCCAGAAGGATGACCAAGAATCCCATGAAAAAGTGTGCAAATATCGTCGTTATGAATGCCATATCTGCAAGAAGTATGTCACTGCTGACAAATATAATTTTAAAAAGCATATGCGAAAGCACAGCGGTGAAAAACCGTTTCGATGCGGAATCTGTATGAAGCGTTTTACACAAAAATTTGATTTAAAGACACATTTGGACACCATCCACACCAGAATCAACTGTTGAAATTTCTCCTTATTTAAAACTTTCACAAGATCTATCGCCTTTATCAACCTTTGATGGCATTTTTGCGAACGTCAAACCAGCATGATATAAACAAAATGCGCATGCAAAACAAAATCCCACAAAAATCCAATTAATTGAATAATGAATTCTTAAGTTCGTGAAATGTCATACCAACAATGGAATAATGACTTTTATAGACATTCACAAGTTACTCTTTCTCTTTTGTTTAAGTTAAGAAAAAAAAACATAATAAATTTAATACTTGAATATCTAAAAAAAAAAAAATTGTTTTGTTCAATTTTACGCCATACATGTTTGTGCTTTCGCTGTAAAATTGTCCTTCGAAAAATCACCACCCTAAATGAACAATTTGTCATAGATTTTCCAAATGATCTCTGCTTTGTGTCTTTTGCAATTGATGTTCATGGTGCCTAGCAAAGGATTGATCCGTTCAGCATTTATCAAGGTTGTAGAAGATCATTTCATTTCCAACGAGAATATAATTGATTTATTTCATTTATTTTCTCGATTTGAATTCAACTTTCAATTTTAACGAAACGAAACAGCAGCGAATTGAATTCGTCGCAAGACAAATTGAACGGGATGAAAAAACAGTTTGACAGTTCATGTCATTTCATGTAGTAAAACCACTTTCACTAGTTCTGATTTATCCAAGAAAAGCTTTGCTTCGTAAAAACGACCCAGAATAAAAATCACATTTGTAGAAGGTAAGAGTTTTTGGTATTTAAACGATCCATAATCATGCCCAATTTTAAGTTATATGCAGTTTGGACAACACTATGAGCCGATTCGGTATTCAATTATAGTCAATCAAAACAATTGATCCGTTCTATTTCCAGACCAAGATGGAGGCATCAACAATGGACTGGCGACACGAAATGCTGAAAATGCTTTCGGAATTTGAACGTCAGACAACAATTTCTCTGGGCAAAATTGAAATGATATTCAAGTACAGCGGCCTATTACTCAATGATGAATTCAAGCAGTATTTCTTGCAAGCTTCGAATATCCGGTTAGTAAATTCGTCTTGGTTTGCATACGATTACTTAATTTTAATAAATCCACTTTATACATTCGTAGCATTGAGGAAACTTATGATCTATTCAAAATGAATTCATTGTTGAAGGACCAAGCCAGACATCATGCAGAAGTGAGTGAGATGTTAAGCTCAATCAATACTCGTGGCATGAACAATACCCAAACACAAATCAATGGCTCCGTCGAAATTATCGACTCAAGCGATGAAGAAGACCAAGCAGACAATCAAGTTAAGATGGAATTATTGGAAGCGCTATCTACTGCTCGGTACACGGATCACGACATGCCACCTGAATTAACCGATGGTGATCAACTTGACGACGATGGAAGCTATATTGATGATGAAACGCCAAACATGAATCTATACGGCATCAATTACAGCAACGCAATTACAGCAGAAATAGATAACGCAATGGAAGCGGACGATAACAAGCCGTTGACTGTCGACACTCATCGTGTAATGGACTTAACAGATGGACGCTCATCCACAGCCACAGTGAACAATGGTCAGAAAGTCGTTAATGGTACCAAAAGTAAGAAGGTGATTGGAAGATCTAGCAGATCAACGGTCGAAGTGTGTTCGACTCCAGGATTGTTGGGAAATAAAAAGTCAAATTCATTAAACCATTTGGTGATGAAGAAACGATTCAAATGCCAATATTGTGAATATTCCAGCAATCACAAACCGAACATCACTCGTCACATGCGCACTCACACCGGTGAGAAACCATATGGATGTGATATTTGCTGTAAAAAATTCACAACACTACAAGGCATGAAAAAACACAAAATCACTCACACTAACGAAATCCCATTCCATTGCCGAGGCTGTTTCACGGGATTTTCCGAGAAGGTCAAACAAAAAGCCCATGAAAAATTATGCAAATCACGTCGATATGAATGCCATATCTGTAAGAAGTTTGTCAATGCTAACAAACATCATTTCAAAAGTCATATGAGGACGCACAGATAAAAAACCGTTTCGATGCGAAATCTGTATGAAATGTTTTACAGAGAAGGGAAATCTGAAGAAGCATCTGGATACCATCCATACTAGAATCAATCTATAAATTCAATCAATCCATTCCAATTTCTTTTTTAATTTCAAACCTACTCTATCAAATTGCAGACGCCTTCTACACTATTATATATACAATATTCAAAAACATTAAATTTCTTATGTTAAATGACTCTCTTCTCTAGTAAAAGTTTCCATAGTTGAAAAAATACTTTCAATAAATGTCAATTAAATTCAAAAAGCACTGACAAATCTGATTTATTTATTCATTCTCTCAATTTGAAATTTAACGTTCGATTTTGACGAAATATGTTCAAAAGTAGCAGCGAAATAAATCAGACACAAGGAAATTTTAAGGGACAAAAAAATAGTTTGACAGTTCGTCAATGAATTATATTGAACGTTCACCAAATTTTATTCCATGTATTTTTCCATTCATTTCCATGTTGTTGAGAAATAAAATACAGTTTTAAATTCATCCATTTTTTATTTAAGGATGAAATTCCTCAGATCTTTCGCCGCAAATATGCTCGCTTTGATCAAAATCAGAATTCAGCGAATTTGTTTTGACAGCTGGTTGGTTCTGTCACTGATTCGTATAAATTTGCTTCATTCTTTCTGTTCCATTTGTTGTACTCAAATTTGCTCAACAAGTTTCTACCTGGAAACAAAATTTAAAGCAATAAACGCGTATTTTCATCGAATTATTATTTTGTTGTATTGAATTCATTTCAAACATTCCACTAATTGGATAAGAATATTTCATTTTTTTGTATATTCTTCATCAAAACGTTAGCAAGGTAAGAAAAATATTTTAACTAACAACATAGAAGAAGAAAAACTCATTACACAGAATCATGGCATAACATTATTTATTCCAAACTGATTTTTGAAAACAAAAGAAATTTAAAAATTTATCCATTTGCTATTGAATTGTCATTGCTTTCACATTCACATAGATACATTTGTTAAGACTAGTCCGATCTTTGTACAAGTTTGGGGGAATAAGCCAATATGGCATCTAATAATCCCAAGATTCGGAGATGTTCCTCTTGGGGTTCACAGTTGTCATGTATTATAAAATTATTATTTGCGAGAAAAACTCGAAACCGTAAACATCGAAAAGAACAACCATGAAACCAATGCAGCCGATTCATGTCATAGATGCTTACTATCGGCATAGATCTATGACGATTTACCTCAACTCTCATGAAAATTTATGTAATAAGCAAAAAATTAACCATGCATTTTATTGCTATTTTATTTATTCCAATATAGATCAAAGCCCGAAAATGTTGAGCTGGAGCGATGAAATGGACAATATGCTTGGTGTACTTAATCGCCAAGTAAAAGCTTCTCTGAAAAATATTAAAATTGCACTCACACGCGATGGTTTATCGTTCAATGCTGAATTCAAGCAATATTTCCTACGGTCCACGAATAAACAGTTAGTATATCTGCCCGAGCTGTTGTTGTCACCGGAGAGGTGGGGACACTCACTAATACATATTCTATATAATTTGTCCAGTACCATAGAAATGACAGCACTTGAAAGTGCCTGCACTTCCGCGGTGCCTATAACAGCTTTGATACCTGTATTTTATTTCATTCATTCATAATATCTTTTAACTCATGTCAATCACCCGCAGAATTGAGGAATCTTACGATCAGTTTGAAATTAAATCAATGTTCGAGGACCAAATCAACGTTGGCACGTATAGAAACACATCAGAAGTCGATACATTTTCAATGATGAACTCATTTCGTAATGAAAATCATGTCTCCAACGGCAATCGACAAACAATAAGTGATTTAGTTGAAGTCATCGATTCAAGCGACGGCGAAGACCAACCAGAAAATCGGTTTAAATTGGAATCATCGGAAGTGGCATCCACCATTCGATACGACGACCACGACATACCACCCGAACTACACCATGACGGCGACGATGGAAGCTATTCTGAAATGGATGACTCAAAGAAAGTAGAAGAAATCGAGAATGATATTCCAGCCATTGTACCAAATATGGACACATCCACTATTACACTACACATCGAATCAAACATCGCCGGTACCACCAAAAACATGGCAAGAAGACCGAAGAAATGCCCAAGAAACGGCACTGAAAATCATTTGCAGATGAAGAAGCGTTTCAAATGCCAACATTGTGAATATTCCAGTGATAAAAATTGGCTACTCAAGCGCCACATGGATACTCACACCGGCAAAAAGCCATATCGATGTGAAATTTGCCGCAAAGAATTCGCCCAGCTAATTAACAAGAAGAGACACAAGATTACTCACACTGATGTAATTCCGTTCCATTGCCGAGGTTGCTTCGATGGATTTTCGCAGAAAGTCGAAAGAAAAGCCCACGAAAGGGTATGCAAGTCACGGCGATATGAATGCCATATCTGCAAGACGTTTGTCACTGTGTCTAAATCTCATATGAAAATTCATCTGCGAAAACACAACGGGGAAAAACCGTTCCGGTGCAAGATCTGTATGAAGGGTTTCACAGTGAAATATAGTCTAAAAATACATTTGGAAACATTTCACACAAGCATCAACCCTTGAAGAAGATTCTCATCAATCCTCATAATTTACACAACATGCATTGCGATGACCTTTAATACAGTTCTCTTAAAAAGTCAAAACACTTTGATAAAAGATCCCGAATATTAATTTCAATTAAACAATATTGACAATTTAATAAGAAAATACTTTAATTTTAGTCATTAAGTGCCAATTCATAGACAATCGTTAAAAGTAAATTATATCCTTACAATTGTAGCTTAATTTGCTTATTAATCCAATTCAATTAGTCTCTCGCCGCAACTGATTTTGCTGTGCTTGACACCAGAATGCAGCAAATTCTTTTTGACAGTTTGTTGCTGCTGCCGTTTCACATTAAATGTCATCATTCTTTCAGTTCTATTAGTTGTACAACACATAATCAACACGTTTCAATCTAGAAACATCAAAATTAAAGAAACTCAGATTTTCAGCGAAATAATACTTTGTTGTCTTGAATTCATTTCAAATATTCTACTTTTTGCTTCAGAGCATTTCATTTTGTTTGAAATTATTCATTATCAAAACGTAAACAAGATAAGAGCAATTGAATTTTACAGAAGACCCAAATAGTAGTTGACCTAAATACAGACAGTTCTGATTTTCCAGTTTGAAAATGTCGAGTTGGAGCGACGAGATGAATAACATGCTTGGTGTGCTTAATCGCCAAGTAAAAGCATCCTTGTGTAATATCAAAATGGCATTCCAATGCGACGGTTTAACGTTCAATGCTGAATTCAAGCAATATTTTCTGCGGTCCACGAATAAACAGTAAGTATATATCACCCTAACAATCCATTCGATCATATGTTTTAAAAAAGCTATTTCAATAACTCTCAGAATCAAGGATACTTATGACCAGTTCGAAATTAGTTCAATGTTGAGAAACCAAGTCGACGTCGATTCATATGGAAGCATTAAAAATTTTGACTTCAACGGCTTTCGAAAAGAAATGAATGATCTGACTAATCTAATCGACTCGAGTAGTGAAGAAGGTTTGGATGAAGGTGAATTGGAATCATCGGAAACGGCATCAGACATTCAATACGTTGGAAATGATATGCCACCTGAATTCTATGGTGATGCTCAATTTGTCTACGATGAAAGCACTGACGAAGTGAGAAACTCAAACAATCGCAATTGCCAGGGAGATGAATTCGAGATATCAATTGAAGATGAGGATAGCGTCGAAGATGAAGAAAAAATGGAAGTGGATAGATTTGTTTGGTCACAAGACCGAAGAAATGTCCAAAAGACGGTGCTGAAATCGAGTTGCAGATGAAGAAGCGTTTCAAATGCCAACATTGTGAATATTCCAGCAATCAGAAAGGGCACTTAAATCGTCACATGCGTACTCACACCGGTGACAAACCATATCGATGTGATATTTGCCACCAAAACTTCACGCGTTTAAATCAGATGAAAAAGCATAAAGTTGCTCACACTGATGAAATTCCGTTCCACTGTCCAGGCTGTTTCACCGGATTTTCCCAGGAGGTCGACCAAAAAGCCCATGTTTTCATGTGCAAAACACGTCGATATGAATGCCACATTTGTAAGAAATTTTCTACTGTTGGTAAAAGTCACTTGAAAGGGCATATACGAAAGCACAGCGGTGAAAAACCGTTCCGCTGCCACATTTGTATGAAGCGTTTTACGGAGAAAAGAAGTCTGAAAAGACATTTGAACACACTCCACACAAGTATCAACTTTTGAGTTCACTTCCACCTTCAATGCTTTGACAACATTTAATTTTTGGTACCGTTCACTTCAAAGGTCAACCCTTCATTTTAATTCAACTTACACTCATTCTCAACCTTTCCGTATAAGCCAATTTCAAATCCTAATTTTTCAAATGTTAATAAAGCTATCAAAAATGTAATAGATACTCGCTTTAGGTTATTGTGATTCAATTATACATTCGCTCAAATATCCAAATTCCCCCTTGCGGCGAAGTGATTTCGCTGCATTTAGAATCGACTAGACAGCTTATATCGGCTGTCATTTATGGTTAACATTGAATGCAGTCAATTTATTTCTCTACCACTCGTTATACAACAGACCCCCAACACGTTTTAATCTCGAAGCTAAATTAAAGAAATAAATTCATATTTTCATCGAATACTTTGTTTTCTTGAATTCATTATAAAAATTCCACTATTCGCATAGGAGCATTTCATTTGTTCAAAATTATTGATCAAATCGTGAGCAAGGTAAGAACAATATTTTGTTGCCAGACAGCGCATAATAAGGTGTATGGCATAAGATAATTAATTCCAAATTGAATTTTATGTGAAGTAGGACAGAATTTTATGAGAAAATTAAAGTTGAACTTTGAATTGTCATTGATTTTACATAGATTATTTTGGCTCTGATTACACTGGGGAAAAATTAAAAGTTGATAAGTGTATGCTTAACGAATTAGGGCTTTGTGAAGAAAAAAAACAACATGACGTTTCTTGGTACCAACTACACAATTTTACAATTGAAATTTCTAATTTGTCCAATAAAACTTCAATGGAAATTATGTTGGAATTTTACCTGGAGCTGATTGTTGGAGCTAACTGGCAAGTGTCCACTATTGATTGACTTTTTAATCAACGTTTAGTCCTAACTCTCATTAAAATAATCTAAGAACACGTTTTTTAGTGCAGGTGGTGAACAGAAGTTGTAAAATGCGTGTTTCTCTTCATTATCTCTAAAATAAATCGAGTTCAAACCAATATGTACCGAAAACACTTTTTCATAGCAATTAATTAGTTAAATTCAAACTACATTCATTTTAAACATTCAAATTATTTGATTCACGTTTATTTGGCAGGTTTCGAGTTCGAATTTTTCAAATAATCTTTAAGATATATTAAAAATGCCCAATTGAATAACGCATTGAATAAAATATTTTTAAAACTATACAGTCGTGATTCAATTCGCTCAAAAGTCTCCAGTCTCTTGCCGCAAATAATTTAGCTGTTGAAGGAACCAAAATGCAGCGAATTAGTTTTGACAGTTATGTCATTGCTACAAAGTTATTCATTCTTTTTGTTCCATTAGCTGTACAATAGGTCGTCCAGACTATTCAATCTGAAAGCAGCAAAACTAAAGAAATAAACTTATTCATCGAAATAATATTTTGTTGCCTTGAATTCATTTCAAACACACCACATTGTCCATAGGAGCATTTCATTTTGTTGGAAGTTATTTATCAAAACGTGAACAAGGTAAGGACAATATTTTGTTGCGCTGACTGGGTTCGTTCATGGCATAGGATAATTATTATTTAATTCCAAATTGAATTTTTTGTGACATTTTTAATGGGAAAATCAAAATTTTTCTAGTACAACTAGGAAATAGTAACAATCAACAGACCAGTCCGAAACACTTCTTTTAATTATTATTATCATTTATTTCACCGTCTAAAATAAATCGTTAATTTTATTTGGATTCGGTTTATTTTAATTTCGCCAAAAGGCCAAAAATGTTGAGCTGGAGTGACGAGATGAGCGAAATGCTTGCTGCATTCCAACGCCAAGCAAAATATTCACTGATTAACATTGAAATGGCATTCGTGCGCGATGGTTTGATACTGAATGACGAATTTAAGCAGTATTTCCTGCGAGCCTCGAATAACTGGTTAGTATTTTCCTAAATTACTCTCCAAATTCATTCCTATTGTAATGCATGTTACATTCTTAGCATCGAGGAAACTTATGATCAATTCAAAATCAACACCGCGTTAAGAAACAAAAACTACGCTAGGGCGGATGCGAGCTCGTTAACAAACAATGAATTGCCGATGATGAGCTCAATTTATACTCCCAGATATGATATGACCAATATAAAACAAGAACTCAATGACCCAGTCGAAATCATCGACTCAAGCGACGAAGAAGGCCAAGCAGATAATCAGGTTTTAATGGAACCATCGACAATGAAGTCAATTGTTCAGTACGGTGACCATGGCATACCACCTGAATTAAACGATTTGGTTCAATTGAACAATGATTTTGGCTACACTGACGAAGTGCCGAACATGATGCTTAACGGAATCAAATCACATTACCAACATGTCACGCTGAACACTGGACGAAATGTCGCTGATGGTACCAAAACTAAAAACGTGACGAAAAGATCAACGAAACGCCAAAATGCGGAATCGAGCTCAACTCTAGAAGAAATTGGGCATAAAAAGTCAAACCAGTTGAAGAAGAGATCCAATTGCAAACTTTGTGGACATTCCTGTGATCGGAGGAATTTCAAACGTCACATGCGTACCCATACTGGTGAGAAACCATATCGATGTGAAATTTGCCGCAAAGAATTCACCCAGCTAAGTAACAAGGAAAGGCACAAAATGACTCACACCGATGAAATTCCGTTCCATTGCCGAGGTTGTTTCAGTGGATTTTCCCAGAAGACCGACAAAGAAGCCCACGAGAAGGTGTGCAAATCACGTCGATATGAATGCCATATCTGCAAGAAGTATGTCACGGTGAATAAAAATACTTTTAAAAAGCATATGCGAAAGCACACCAGTGAGAAGCCGTTTCGATGCAAGATTTGTATGAAGGGTTTTACACAGAAAGATAACCTGAAGATGCATTTGGACACCATCCACACCAGAATCAACCCTTAATGACTCTCGTTTTCGAAACTTTCACGACACCCGTCGACCTAACATTTAATGGCTTTTCAAAACTTTTAGAATAATAGACACAAAATACAAGAAAATAGTAAAAAAAAACTCCCACAGAAAACTCAGTAATAAGCTTCTATAGGAGATACGGCACATTAATGCAGACGTACAGAATTCGACATGTGCCGAGTCACCTTTGAAATATTCAACACACCTATATACACTACTTTCATACATTAAGTTAAAAAAATACAACGTATCTTGGACATTTGTTCCATTTTCAAACAAATTAAATTGATCCTCGAAAGATCACCCCAAAGTCATTAATAAAATCATCAAGTAAGCTGAAGAATTTTGTTAAAGATTAGTTTTTGGTACCAATAATTCAATGTATTTAGGAACAATAGTTTGAAAAATAAAATATTTTCAACGCTTCCATTCAATTGTGATTCAATTTGCTTTCAAATCAAATGTTTTGAGTGTTTCTCCGCAATTGATTTCGCTACTTCTGGACCCACAGGGCAGCGAATTCATTTTGACATTTTCTTGCTGCTGCTACTGATGGCTGTCATTTAATATCGTTATTCTGTATGTTACACAACACGTACTCGGCACGTTTTAATTTGGAAGCATTAAAAGTAATAAAATAAACTCATATTTTCATCGAATTAATACTTTTTTGTCTCGAATTGACTTCATACATTCCGCTAATTCCTATAAAAGTACATAACTTTCTTGTCGAATTATTTCTCAAAACGTGATCAAGGTAAGAAGGCCTAGGTTTATGGCATAAGATAATTTATTCCAAATTTAAATTGATGTGAACGTGGACGGAGTTTCATGAACAAACATCAAACTAATCCAATTTTTCTGTGAATTGAAATTGATTTTACATTTGAATTGGTCATCAAGTAAAATTATTTTTGGTAATACAAAACTTGAGAAATATGTTAATATTGATTTATTCGTAAAAAAAATTGGCGTTTTGCGTAAAATAATCGCCATCTTGTTTTATTTTGCCATCAGTGGTGCTTCAACCAACACAATCATGTATTTATTTACAGCAAGGTCTGATTTTATGATTTGTTCACAGCTGAAATTCAATAAAAAAAATTCGTTCCCTCAAACAAGAACTGATCATAGATTCGACCGAACTGGTCCGTTGTTGCTTTAAAATCATTCAATCAGCGTACTTTCATAATTGAACATCAAGTCGCTGTTTCCTATAAGCACCCACCATGTGCCGTAATTGTAGCAGCAAGCGACTAGTTAGTTCTTGTTAAAATGCATTACTGCCACCACCAATCATCGTTGTATCTATTCCAATGTAGCAAAAACTCCAAAAATGAAGAGCTGGAGCGACGAAATGAATGAAATGCTCGCTGAATTTGATAACCAAGCAAAATATTCTCTGGCCAATATCAAAATTGCACTCAAACGAAATGGCCTATCGTTGAATGCCGAATTCAAGCAATATTTCCTGAAGGCTTCTAATAAAAGGTTAGTAAATTAGACGGAAATTCCGTTCGATTTTTTATTGAAATGATTTCAATCACTTGTAGAATCGAAGAAACGTATGACCAGTTCGAAATGAATTCGATGTTCGAAGATCAAGCCAACGATGGTATGGATGCGACCACGTCTACAACCGATCAATCCCTGTTGGTTCCACTTCATTCCAATGGAATTAACGACAGTGACCATGACGGTGACCATAACGATGATATCGATGATGACCATGGCATTAAATACGTTGACGACGTTGGATTTGTTTTGCCACCGGATCCAGAGGAAACCGCCCACGATGAAGAAGATGAGGGAGCTGCTGTAATGCCATCAGTATCGGAACCTACCCGTCAAAAAGATCATGACATACCACCAGTAGTTGAAATTCATGACGATGGAAGCTACACGGAATTGGGTCGCGCAATGAAAGTCGAAGGAATGGATGTCGACGATCACATTCCGTTGATGGTTGTCGAAGTGAATGCATTGAATGGGCGCACATCCACTGTTACATCCACTGTTACATCCACTGTAACATCCACGGTCACACCAAACAATGCATTAAACGTCATGGATGGTGCCAAAGGTAAAAAAAAGCGAGGAAGAGGAATTGGAGAGTCAAAACGAAATGCTGCATCGGGCTCAAAAGTAACTCGAAACAAAAAAACAAGTTCGTCAACTCAACTGAATTTAAGAAAACGATTCAAATGCCAACATTGCCAATATTCGTGCAATAGCCAATTGGTACTTAAACATCACATGCATACTCACACCGATTAGAATCGAATGGATGACGATTGAAGTGATGTGAACAATGGTCGACAATGCCAGATCTAAAGCATGGGCTCATTGCTATGTCTATTTTATTTTTAATCGAATTTTAAGTCACTTTAATTCGCATCCATTTGATTTCACTGACTCATCAACTAAATTTTGCATTCAATTTTTTTTTTGCTTTTATGCCATTATTTTCACAAACAACAACACAATTTTTCTTTCGCCAAATGTTGTTCATGCTAGTGTTCATGCTGAATGTCAAAATAAAATTTATTTCGTAATTTTGTTGCTTTTTCCCTTCATACGTGTATGTGTTCCGTTCTTTTGGAAGGAATAAGATTTCCTGCAAAACACAAAAGGTCTCTTTTCCGTAATAGAAATAAAACTTTTATTTTTTAGATCTATTTGCTCATATTTGACTTTCTAACTTTTTGTCAAATTCATTCAGTTAAATTTACCGATAAGCATTTCCTTTCACTTGGAACCTGATTTCACAAGTCATCATTAAAGTGAGAAAAAAAAACAAACAAATTATTTAATTTTTCAAGTAATGAAATCGTGACATGCGATCGAGCCATTCATTGAACAACACCTTCGGTAGCTCAGTTGGTAGAGCAGTGGACTGTAGAGGCAATTATCTAGTTGAAATCCATTTGTCATCGGTTCGACTCCGATTCGAAGGAAACTGAATTTTTTTTTTCTCTTTTATATTTTTCTTTTCATTCACATTTTTTTATGTTTCTCAAAATAATTCGGTGCCAATTTTTGGGTGGAAATTTATTTAATTTCGACTTTTAAAATTGTGATTATGTTTGCAATTACATAACATTTTGGTGGCAAGCAACTTTTTTCTTGCTAGCAATTACACGAGTGACTACACGATTTCAAATGTGAAAGTCCAAAAGTGACCTCCAAACAATTTGAACACAAATATACAATTTAAATAGAAAGGAATTAAGATTTCTCAATAAATAGTAATATTAAATAATAAATAGGTCAGGCTGTATGATTTTTCTAAATAAATAGCTATGATCCACGTAGATTCATTTATTCATTGAATTTCATTCAAAATTGAATCGAGCTACTTTCTGCACAGACGATGTATTTCTTGTGACGTATTTATTCACCGATGAATTTTAATTCGTTGTTTTTTATATCATTCACAATCGGGAAGCAGTACTGATTAAAAACCAGCTTATCGTCCGACCGTCACTATCTTTCAAGTTGTAAATAAAATTGATTATCGTTCAGTTGCTTGCAGTAAAAAGTATCGAAATCGATAAATTTAAATAAAATTTTGTACGAAAAGAAATCAGCGTTTTTTTAACATAAAAACTGCGATAAAACATAAAAATAAAAAGAAATAAAAAGTAACTGGAGAATGCGAGCATCGAAAAAACATGCTTTTTTCGTATTAAATTTTTTTTTAAATTAATTCCAATTCTGAATTATGCCAACTGATGGAAGTAATGAATAAAACTGATGAAAAAAGAACGAAAAGCGAAAATAAAAAAAAGACCTTGGAGAATGCGAGCATCGATCTCGCTACCTCTCACATGCAAAGCGAGCGCTCTACCATCTGAGCTAATTCCCCTCATGCTTTAGGTTGGTTGGTATTATTCCTTATTTTTCTTCATTTTTTGCCTATTCCACAAATTTGAAATGGTTCAAGTTTTATTTACGACACGTACATGAGTGACATATGATATATGCACGCAAACTATCGAAACACAGCTCTGTTGAAGGCTTTAACTAAGCATATAATTGTGGGAACAAATTGAAATAAATTCGGAATGTACTTTGCACTATACACGTGGAATGCGTTGTAATAGAGCTGCAAACAAATATTCAAGCGCATGTGTATGCAAATTTGATAAGATTTTTGTGTCGATCCCATTCATTCTACGCCATCAACGCAGTTCGTATTTGTTCAAATTATGCGAAGAATAGAATCGAACTCAATGTGCGATATTTCCATTGTATTTTAATTTAAATGACGATTGACTTGACTTGGTAATAAACTATCTATTTTAATTGGAATTTTTAAATAAAAAAATATTGTTGGATTCTATCGAAAAAGCGTCGTAAACCAGTTTTTAAGTTAATAAAGCAACACAGTCGATTGAATAGACATGAGTTGATGTATTTATAGCTTATTTACTACACTTCCTTGATAACTTCGTGGGATTTTTGGTAGAGCGCTTGCTTAGCATGCGAAAGGTACCGTGATCGACACACATTCCATACTTTTTTTTATTTTTAACAAAAATGTTTGGTGTGCGTTTATAATACAAATTAATTTAAAGAAATGAAATAGTTCCTCAAATTGTAACGAGAAAGACAGTAATTGTGACAAAGTTTTGTTGAATGAGATGAAAACAAGAAATTCTTAAATAAAAAATATCAAAATCTTATTTTGAAACTAGTTGTCGTCTATATAATCTACTTGAGATAAGAAATCTCTGTTAAAACCGTAAATTAAGCATCATTAGTTGAAATTGACATCGATTTATAATAATTCTAACCAAAGATGAACTGATTCCCGTAAAAATATAATCCATTTGTTGATTAGATAAATGATGAGTTGCAAAACAGGAGCTGTTTTCTTTTGTTTTGAATTTCTCCTATTGACACCGACGCGACGACGGTACTTACCTTATTATTTAATATTTACATTTTAATCAAATAAATCCGAATTTTTGTGGATGAAATAGAAATTTCTTATATGATTTATTTGAGATGGGAATGATATTTTGACATAGATTCATGTGCAAATAAACATCCAAAGTCACGACTTACGATCTTTTTATCTCATAACGATAATTAGGTATAAAACTTCAAATACAAGGGAATTTTCATTTCGAAAAATATACAATTTACGACTTTGTCTCAACAATCTTGCTATTTATGGATATGCATTTAATCCAGGCATAAGACGTAATTTATCGCAGCACTATATACAAATCTCATACAAATTTGATCGCTTGGTGCGAATGTACCAGACTACAATATATGCAGTTCAGATTAGGTTATATTTAAAGCAGATTCGCTCTCTTTTTGTTGAGTTGTGATTCATTTGTAGTTATTGTTCAAAAAGAGAATTTAAAAAAAATGCGTCAAACCAATGACCGTGGTATTGAAAATGGTAATTAAAATTTATACAAAAATTCAGTCTTTACAACTTTTCTCTTTCAAAAGGTTCAGATACTCAATCAAACCCACCGACGAAGAGATTTTACATGGACGAAGCTCTATCGAAAACAGGTGACCTGTCTTCCTCTAAATTTGGCGGAAACTTTCCAAGTTTAATTCCCGAAAAGACTCACAAATATTGCTCTGTCTTTTTATTTCCCTGCGATTTTTTAATTCGCAATCTCTTTGGAAACAAAAGAAGAAAAATAATGTTCATAAATGCAATTTCAGGTTTCGGAATTTTGAACTACATCATAATATTCGTAGGCGGCATGATATTATATGCCGTAGCGCAAGAAGTAAGCGGCATTCTCTTTGTCATTCCCGTGGCACAGTGTGATTTAAAAATGACGACAAGTGACAAAGGAATTCTCGGTGGTGCATCACTTCTCGGTATAATATGTTCGTCGCATCTATGGGGCTTTCTGGCCGATACAAAAGGTCGTCGTGCTGTTATCATGCCCACGTTATTCATTGCATTCATCATGTCACTTTGTTCGTCATTCGTGCAAAATTTTTATATTTTCTCCACGCTCCGTTTTTTCAATGGATTTTTGTGAACACCATTTTACCACATTCGGCCATTTTTCTAACCATTTTGCTGAAATATTTAGTGTTTCAGGAGCATCCGCAACTATTTACGCATATTTGGGTGAATTCCACAATAATACGCAACGAAGTCGTGCAATTATGTGTTCAACCGTGATTCTTGGCACTGCCTGCATTTTAATGCCATTGTTTGCGTAGATTGTGATCAATCAAGACTGGCAATTTGCAATTCCGTTGCTGAATATTACATATAAACCATGGCGAATGTATCTCGTAGTTGGCGCCGTACCGGGGCTCTTTGGTGCCATGGCACTCACTTTTTTGCCGGAAAGTCCAAAGTTCATGCTAAGTAGTCATCGTGGTGTTTTATAAGTTACTTTTCTATACTTTAAAATATCTCATTTTTCACGTAAAACTCATTTTAGGTCAAGGTAATAAATTGGCTGCATATCAAATCTTACAAAAGATGCATTGTTGGAACAATTACCGAGCGACCCATTTGGAAGAATTTGAAATGTACGAAGAAATTGAATCGATTGAAAATCGCGAACATATTTTGGACAACAAAACAAGTCGCTTTCCTTTGTTGAAAACGATTTGGATTCAAACAGCGCCACTTTTTAAGCCACCGTACGAATAAAATGTCAACATTTATGGAGAAAAATCCCGATCGAAGAGCAATGATGTGCGATATTATCAATGCAAAGGGGAATACGTTACACGAGACAAATGAACAAGTAAGTGTTTTTTTGGAACACTCAGGAATTTCGCCATTTTCAATTTGCTCTTCGCTTGTCGCCGGTACAGATTTGTATAGATAAGCTTGAGCTGACCACACTCGAACTCGAAATCATACTGGAAGTTGCTCTCCGTAAGCTACGTTTTAATTGGTTTATTGATCAATAAACTCGGAAAATTATTCATTATATGTAAGTAATTCGACACATTTCAAAACCTTTTCAACGATTTTATCCGTTTTTTTAGTTTTCGTTTTGGTTGTAACTGGATTAAGTGGCATTGGATGTGTTTTGACTGATATACCTATATTTCAAAATTATTTATACACATCATTGATGTCGTCTGGCATTGCGATTAGTGTTGTAAATGCAGCGGCCGTTGAACTTTATCCAACTTCGTTGAGGTATTCAACTTATTTGGCATATGGATCTAATGTCGGATTGATTTCAATTCGGCGGACTTAGAAAGAAAGAAATAATTTTGTCTTTTATAGATCGATGGCAATGTGCATCTCGTTGATGTTCGGCCGATTGGGCGGGGTAGTTGGGTCAAATACTGCCGCTTCGTTGCTAGACAATCACTGTGAAACGCTGTTTTATTTATCCGGTTCGAGTGTGATAGGTACCAAATGACTTATATTCGTAGCTGCACCATTTTTTACACAT